AGTAGTCGTGGTAGTGGTAGGTAGTAGTAGTGGTAGTAGTAGTAGTAGTAGTAGTAGTAGTAGTAGTAGTAGTAGTAGTAGTAGTAGTAGTAGTAGTAGTAGTAGTAGTAGTAGTAGTAGTAGTAGTAGTATAGTAGTAGTAGTAGTAGTAGTAGTAGCAGCAGCAGCAGTAGGAGTAGGAGTAGGCGGAGGAGGACGAGGAGCAGGAGGAGGGCGAGGAGGAGCAAGTGGAATGGAAGGTGAAGAGCGAGGGGGGAGGGGAAGGGGAAAGGAGATTCGAGCGAGGGATCTCACCGCTGCCGCCGCGTTCTGCCCCCGGCCCCGTCCGCAGGAAGCGCTGCCTTCGAGGGCCTCGCGGCGAACGCCGCCGGGAGGCTGTGAGGGGTGGAGGGGCTTGCCATGAAAGGAAAAGGGTCCTGATCGGCGGCGAAATCCGAACCCTACCTTTGCCGATCAACGATTCAGGCAGCTCGATGGGCGGCGGGTCGAACGCGTGGCGAGATCCGAACCCCCCCCTCCCATCGAAGTAGGAGAGTCGCTGGTTGTCGGGGGGGGGGGGTCGGACGTCGCCACCTGTCCTGAGGAAACCGCGCCCTGAGGTTTTTCACCGTCTTCGGGGTCTCGGGTCTTTCCCCGTGCCCCACGGGCCTTATCCGAAAGCGCCTGGGGACGAAGAGCTGGCGCAAGGCGCTCGCGCCGTTCCCTCGCCCTGGCCTCGAGCAGGCGCCTGTTTGGGAAACCGCTGGCCTGAGAGTTCAATGGGGTCGCTGTTGGCCCTCGAGTGGAACAGCGCCGCTGTGGGGAACTCAAGCAGCCCACGTTGGACTTTGACCTTCTTCGAAAAGCGCCGACTTAGGAATTCAGGCGGTGAGCTTTCAGTGCTGGCATCGAGCCAGTATTGTCTTGGGAACCGAAGCCGTGCACCTTCTGCTCTGGCCAAGACCACGCGCCGCTCCTGCGGAAGAAGGTGGAGAGGCGGGAGCCGCCGCGTGCGCTGCCGCTCTGGCCCATGCAGCGCGGGGGAGCACGCTGCGGGAGAGGCGGGGGCCGCCGCGCGCGCGGAGGCCGACGCACGCGGTGCGGGAGAGGTGGGGAGCCGCGGCGCCTGCAGCGGCCCAGGCCCATCTCCGGCACGGCGAACGCGCAGGGCGGGAGGACGCGGGAGCCGCCAAGTGCGGCGGCCTTGGGCAGCACAGTCTGAGGAGGGAGAGGCCGGAGCCGCCGCGCGCGCGCGCGCAGCCCTCTCCCGTCCTGCGTGCGGAGAGCAGTGCCGGGCACGCGGGAGCAGCTGCGCACGCGGCGGCGCCGCCCCACGCCGCTTCTGGAAGCAAGGGCGTGCAACTGTGAAGCCGTTTCCCGGCGCAGCGTGCTCCCACCCAAGCTCCCTTCGGCACATTCCCATATTGATGGGCCTGTTTTCCACCACCACCACCATAAGTTAGAGGGGGAAGGAGTAGGACCTCCTCCCCCTCGAACTCATGGTGGTGGCGGTGGAAAACATGCCCATCACATATGGCATGTGTCGCGGGCGGCGTGCGCAGCGCTCCGATCCGGTGGTGCAGAACGCTGGTGTTTGGACAGAACGCCGGTGCTGGATATATATATATATATATATATATATATATATATATATATATATATATATATATATCACGCCCCCGCAGTTGCGGATACGGGCGAGGGGGTGGAGGGTCGTCGGCAGTTATCGAGGCAGAGGGAAATGTGAAGAAGCCCATCGCAGGCGCCGAGTGTGTAATACGTGATTCCAAGAGACCGCCGCAGGCGTTCTTTTCTTGCCAAGATATTGTAGGTGGATCGCAGGTGAGTCGCGAGTGGATCGAGGATGGGTCGCGGGTGGGTCGAGGGCGGGTCGTTGGTTGGGTCGCGGGCGGGTGACAGGTGATGACGAAGAACAAGATCAGCAACAATAATCCAGACCGCGGAACATCATTTCAGCCATGCACCCAGGGACGGTGTGCAGTCGGACCGAGGTATCAAATCGAGGTCGGTTTGTGCAGGGTACTCTAGTGTTATTCGTGTTTGCTGGATGTCCTTGTGCCTTGTGCATCCTGGGGAGGGTACCCTTGGATGTTCTCTTTGCGTTTGCCGACGGACGGTCCCACGTTCTTGATGGATGTTATTATGTATTATAGTCTAGGTCCGACTGTCAGACCGCTCGGCTCCACCTCTCTGGTTACAGGCAGGGAGTCAGGAGCAGAGTCATTCGCGAGAGCGTGAGAGCTTGAAACTGCATTTTGAACACACGGCGCGCGTGCTCCTCGATGTACCTTGGCCACGGCACGTCCGGACACATGACGTGCAGTTCCGCTTCGGTGTGGCAAGGCGGAGAACATGAGGAGACTGCACCGGCTGCCCTCCTCCTCCTCCTCCTCCTCCTCCGCCTCCTCCTCCTCCTCCTCTCCCTCCTCCTCCTCCTCCTCCTTCTCCTCCTCCTCCTCCTCCTTCTCCTCCTCCTCCTCCTCACTACACCGGTTGCCCGCCGCAATCTTGTTGGAAGCCTGCGCGAGGGACCTACACGTCGTTGCGTGGAGGGCCAGCGCTGCCCCAGTCGCAGGTTGGGCTCGATCTCTTGGCGCCTTCCGTCTCGAAGCGTGATCGTCTAGAAAGCCCACGTTAGACATCGTTTTAGAAGTGCACGCTTGAAGAACGTGCACGGTTGATCAACGTTCTTCGCAGAAGTGTCTACGATAAGGAAGCTTGGATGCGGTCATTGTTCAAAACTCCGCGGGCTGAACCGACGAGGCGTTTGACCATTTTGACGTCCTGCTTTCCGGTGGTGAGCTAATTCAAAGATGAACTGTCACCCTCAGTCCAACTCTCTTACTCCAGGGAAGCTTCACACTCGATGACCTTGGCTGATCGACGAGAGACTCCGGTAACAGAAACGGGGTGGAGGAAGAGGTTAGGGGGGGGGATATGCTCAGGGGGGGGAGGGATGCATCGACCCCCATTCGCCCACCGATCGCCGCCGGGGGCCTGCTCGCCATTCCCCGCCCGGGACCGTGGACTTTCGCTGTCAGGGCCCCTACCGCCGATCCCTCCTCCTCCTCCTCCTCCTCCTTCCTCCTCCTCCTCCTCCTCCCTCCTCCTGCTCCTCCTCCTCCTCCTCCTCCTCCTCCTCCTCCTCCTCCTCCTCCTCCTCCTCCTCCTCCTCCTCCTCCTCCTCCTCCTCCCCCTCCCCTCCCCCTCCCCCTCCCCCTCCCCCTCCCCCCCGCCTCCTGCGCCGAGGCGCGACGGCTCCGACGGCGGGTCCCCCTTCGCCTTCCTGGTCGCCGCGGCCGCCAGCGCCCGGTGGAGCCGGGGCCCGCCCCGGGCCGACTGGTGGCCGGTGGCGGACGAGGCGGGCGGCGCGGGGGGTGCGAGGAGACGAGGGGGGGCGGAGGAGGAGGAGGAGGAGGAGGAGGAGGAGGAGGAGGAGGAGCAGAGGGTGGAGGAGGAGGAGGAGGAGGAGGAGGGGAGGAGGAGCAGAGGGGTGGAGGAGGAGGAGGAGGAGGAGGAGGAGGAAGAGAGGAACGCGGAGCAGAAGGAGGAGGAGGAGGAGGAGGAGGGAGAAGGAGGAAGTGACAACGAGCAAGCGAGGAGGAGGAGGAGGAAGGAGGAGCAGGAGGAGGAGAAGGAGGAAGAGGAGGGAGAAGGAGGAAGTGACAACGAGCAAGCGAGGAAGAGGAGGAGGAGGAGGAGGAGGAGGAGGAGGAGGAGGAGGAGGAGGAGGAGGAGAAAGAGAGGCGGGAGGTGGAGGAGGAAAACGACGAAACGAGCAGGAGAACGGGAGGGAGTGTGAGGCGGATGGGGAGGAAGATTGGGAGCACGATGAGGTCGGGGGCGTGTCAGGGGAAGAAAGGGGCGCGAGGAGGAGTTAGAAACGAGAAGAGGACGGCGCGGGGGGGCAAGGGGGAGGAGGGCTAGAAGCGCATTTCTGTTTAGTGTCCGATGATGAGCCCCTTACGGCTGTCGTCGACGGCCGCACGATGTTGCATCTATGTGGCAGTCTTCCGTTCTTCATACATGAGTCCGATACGCGGTTCGAGGTTGTGGAAATATATTGGGTGGTAACGCCCAAGCAACGGCCCCAGGTGTCCTCAGGAGTTCGTCGCAGTATCATGCCACGAATTGCGCAATAAGTGTTTTACGCGCTGGGTAGGGCCAGAGGCAGTGTGAGCAAAAGGCACATCATATAGCTCGGCGCCGATGATTATCCAATGCGTCTGACCTCATCAGCATATTCTTCGTATTTCTCGTCCGTAGACGCTTCGGCTGTCGCATCAAGCGGCTGTGTCTTCTTTGAAGATCCCTGATGCATACACCATCCCGATCAGCCCAATAAGAGGGGGGCCGTGACTATGTCCTAGGTTGTTCAGGCGCCTTGGGGGTAGAAAGGTGAGGGAGGAACCGGAACCTCCGAATCAGTGGGCCTCCTACGCTGCTTGGGTGCTCGATTTGGCTATGTCCTGTGGCATCCATGCGTGTGTGTCCACACTTGTCGGAATTTTTGGGCCCTCTTTGGCGAGCTCGGAACATGTTCAGGCGTTCTTGGGCTTTCTGTTGGTGACGACACTCCCTTGGTGCTTTCTTGTGCACTTCTCAAGCTGTTGTCTGTGTGTTGTCGTTGCCTTTCCTCGCCGGTTGGGTGGAAGCTTCCTCGAGGTTTGCGAGAGTCTTCTCAGAGTTCTGTGCGGGTTTTGGGGGGGACGCCTGTTCGGCTGCTCTTGGGCACCTCCTGGTCCCATCTTGGACTTACCTAAGGACCTCTTGGGCCACTTTGGAGTCATCTCAAAGCTTGTGAAGCCCAGACAGGAGCAGAAGCTAGGACACCACAATCAATATCTAAAGGCGGCAGGTTTCCCAATGCCGTTAGCCTCCCTTAGGTTTCCTTGGAGGCTTCCTGGCCACTGTGTGCGCCACGTTGCCGTCGTGGAGGCCATCTTGTGCAGTTGTTGAAGCCACCTGTGCTATCTGATGCCAGGGTGCAGCCATCTTGGGCCATTCGAGGGGCCTTCACGCGTGGCGTTGAATTCTGGGTGCCTCTCAGACCAAAGGGAGACTCCCCCATTCGGGACTTTGATCCCCAGGGAGGGGGACAGAGTAGAGGAGTTGACAGCCAACAAAACTTGCACGCCTTTTTCTTCACAGCGCCCCCAGCGGGGATTCGGAGGATTCCTGCTGTGAGGGCGGGCACTTTGTTTGGCATGGCGCTCAATGCTCATCGCCGTGCGCATGTCTGGGCAAGCGCCGTGCTCGGAACAGCGGTAGGCACTGAGGCAAGAGTTGTCTCTGCCTCCTTGCAAGAGAAGGGTCCGTGGCGATCGTTCTACATCAGCCGCGCCATGACAGATCCTGCACTGATCGCTGATAGGTCAATCATGAACAGGCTGCACGTGAATGACATCCAGAAATTACAGGGCGGTGTACCGTCGTGCTCCGCGCATGTGCCTCTGATTCGCCAGGCTTCGTACACCAGGGGCGGTCGTGCGCAGCTTCGCGTCATAACCTGGAACATCAACATGCTTGCGGGTCCGACGGTAGTGCTTCAGTGGGCTCCCTGAGGCGCATCGACCCCGACCTCGTGGCCGATGTGATTGAGTGTGTCAATCCAGACACTGTTTGCCTACAGGAAACGATCGACTGGATGCCACCAAAGTGCAAGGAGCACTTCGAGAAGCATGGAGTGGCTGAGTTGGATCTGCGAATGCGACTCCTGAACGCACGTCTTCGTCAGCAGGGCTTTGGCTATCGTCGAAGGTCATGCAGTCCGCCTTCCAACGGTAGTCCCAATCTGCTGGCTACCAGGTTACCCGTCTTGCACGAGGAGCAGTTTACCTTAGCACCCGAGCGGGCGTAGGCGTGTGGCACAGCTCCACGAGCTGCTGCTTACGTGGAGGTGCAGCTGTCAGCAGTTGGGGGCACAAGGTCAAGGTTAAGCCCGTGCGCCAGAAGGCGAGCCCATGAAGGGCGCAGGCGGTGGCAATCGGCAGCGTGCTATACACGCGCGCGCCACGGTGAAACAGTACGTGCGGCAGAACGGGGGGATGGCTCATTCACATGGCGTGTTCATATGGAATTGCAGCAGAAATTCTGAACATCAGCGGCGCGCAGTTGGAAAACATCTAGTGACCAAGATCGCCATTGAGAGCCAACCACACGGCCGAGTTTGGAGCACAACGCTTGGGATATATCCAGTTGCGCTATAGCGCATACCCGTCACCGCGCCTCGGAAAGCTGCGCAGACACGCTGTGGCGAACGTCGCGCGGCCGTGGCGATATGTGCGATAGCGCCTCTTTGGGGTCTTTTCCAAGGGTCCATGGAGGGGCCCAAGGCGGTACGAACATGGGCTGGAGGCCCCATTGAGCTCCCCAAGGGGCAAGAATGAAACAACTAAGTTCTGTTGACAAGAGGATCCGTGAGGCGGCTCTCGGCGACTATGGGGCCACCTATCCTGGGAGCATTCTGGTTGCACTCCGACCCAGCATTGTGCAATGAGCAAGTTCGCCTTGCGACGCCCAAGCATATCCCTGACCCTTTGCTAAAGATGGCCTTTTCGTGCGCCCCGTTGCGTGTGGGGGAGCTGGCCATTGTTTCGTGATGTCCAAGACACGTTGAGAGACTAACCCTGTGCCCCTGAGAGTGATCCCTGGGGGATCAAATGAAGTTCAGGGTTCTGCGTGAATAAACTTTTTGTCCTGGCGAGTCGCATGCACAGACGTATGGACGTACGGTGTACGACTGGTCCGGTGGACGTGGAGCGGTACTAGCAGTAGTAGTAGTAGTAGTAGTAGTAGTCGTCGTAGTAGTCGTAGTAGTCGTAGTAGTAGTCGTAGTCGTAGTCGTAGCCGTAGTAGTAGTAGTAGTCGTAGTAGTAGTAGTAGTTGTAGTAGTAGTAGTAGTAGTAGTAGTAGTAGTAGTAGTAGTAGTAGTTGTAGTAGTAATAGTAGTAGTAGTAGTAGTAGTAGTAGTCGTAGTAGTCGTAGTAGTTGTAGTAGTAGTGGTGGTGGTGGTGGTGGTGGTGGCGATGGTGGTGGTGGTGGTGGCGGTGGTAGTCGTAGTAGTAGTTGTTGTAGTAGTTGTAGTAGTTGTAGTAGTTGTAGTAGTTGTAGTAGTTGTAGTAGTAGTTGTTGTTGTTGTAGTACGTAGTAGTACGTATTACGTAGTACATGGTATGTGGTACGTTGTACATAGTGCGTGGTACGTAATACGTAGTACGTAGCACGTAGTACGTAGTAGGTAGTAGTAGTCGTAGTAGTCGTGGTAGCCGTGGCAGTTTTTCCAGTTGAAGTATTCGTCGTCATAGCCGTAGTAGTAGTAGTAGTAGTAGTAGTAGTAGTAGTAGTAGTCGTAGTCGTCGTCGTCGTCGTAGTAGTAGTAGTAGTCGTAGTCGTAGTAGTCGTAATCGTAGTAGTAGTAGTAGTAGTAGTAGTAGTAGTAGTAGTAGTAGTAGTAGTAGTAGAAGTAGTCGTAGTAGTAGTAGTAGTAGTAGTAGTAGTAGTAGCAGTAGTAGTAGTAGTAGTAGTAGTAGTAGTGGTGGTAGTAGTAGTGTAGAAGTAGTAGTAGTAGTAGTCGTCGTAGTAGTAGTAGGTAGTAGTAGTAGTACTAGTACTAGTAGTAGTAGTAGTAGTAGTAGTAGTAGTAGTAGTAGTAGTAGTAGTAGTAGTAGTAGTAGTAGTAGTAGTAGTAGTAGTAGTAGTAGTAGTAGTAGTAGTAGTAGTAGTAGTAGTAGTAGTAGTAGTAGTAGTAGTAGTAGTAGTAGTAGTAGTAGTAGTAGTAGTAGTAGTAGTAGTAGTAGTAGTAGTAGTAGTAGTAGTAGTAGTAGTAGTAGTAGTAGTAGTAGTAGTATTTGTAGTAGTAAAATTAAAAGTAAACGTAGTAGTAGTAGTAGTAATAGTAGTAGTAGTAGTAGTAGTAGTAGCAGGAGTAGGAGTAGGAGTAGGAGTAGTAGTAGTAGTAGTAGTAGTAGTAGTAGTAGTAGTAGTAGTAGTAGTAGTAGTGGCGTGGCGACGCCGGTCATTGGTGATTTCAGTGAGGCAAGGCAGCCAAGCGGAAACTCAGACAGAAGCTGCACGAGGAGGATAGGGTCGCCGCGACCATGCACGCCGCTGGCTTCGTTTGCACATATGATGCCTCGCCTTCGCTAACACATGTTGGTGGTCGCGCAGCCCCTGCGTTCACACATTGGACTGGAAGCACAGTGGACGATGCATACATGCTTGACGAGGCGCGATCTGAAGCCGGTGTTGATGGCACGGCGAGTGCCAACGCTGCCATTAATGGTGCGTACGTGTTTTTGTCCGATTTGTCCGACCATCTCCCAGTTGTCACGGATATATCAATTGACGTTCCAGCAGAGTAATGCTGGTCTTCCTCCTCCTCCTCTGCTCCTCGCCCTTCTCCCCATCGGCATCCCGCCACTGCTCGCCCCCACCCCCACCCCTCGCCAGGCCTTTTTTTTTGCGGGGGTGATTTCCTGTAACATGGCGGGCGAACCCCTCCAGCCGCACCGTGGCGACGAGACGGGCGCGGGATCGACCTTGCCCTGGCCCTGCGTGTATCCAAGACGGCCCCGACGACGAGACAAGAGCAGACCAGGCGAGCCAAGGGAAGACGAGACAGGATAAGGAACCAAGACACGACAGCCTCCAGGTCGGCCCAATATCGGCCCAATGCGGCCGAGGAAGGGCTCCAAGACGGCCTGAGAGGCCGGCAAGACGCCCGGAGCCTCCAGCGGACGCCCGAGTGTGGACGTTTCCGAACCAAGTCGGGCGGGCCTTTCCAGTCGCCATCCGGCCATGAGACCAGCATGCCCGCGCCTCCTAGACGACCCAAGACGGCCCAATACACAAGACAAAACGAGACAGGATACGCCAAGACAGCCGCCAGGTGTGCCCAATATGGCCACAAGACAAGATGCCCCAAGGCAAAAGTGTGGTGTCTTTTGCTTGTTCTCTCTTCACAAGAGAGCCCAAACACGGGCCCAAGAGAAACCATGGTCTCAGAGGAGACCAAGTGGGACCCAAGAGGAGGCCACCAGAATCCTTCCCAATCCTGGATCTTTCGTTGTATGCAAGTGTGGTTGGTGCCGAGATGGCCCCAAGAGGCCCCCAGAGGCCCCGCAGGTGCCTCCAGTTCCCCACCGGAGCTTCCCAAGAGGCAAACAGAGGTCTCTGTGACGCCCCCGGCCCCCAGGAGGCTTCGCCAGGCTTGGGGCAACTCTGCTGGCGTTGGGCAGGGGGGTGATAAACATTTTCCTTGGGTGGGATGATGGGGCCTGGCAGTCACCGCCCACCAAACCACCTCAACCCAACCCGAAGGCTCAGATTTACCCTCGATTTCCAGTGGGGGGGGGTCGGGAAACATCGAAAAAACACATGTGGAACCCTTACCCCCCCAACCCGAAATTCGGGTCTTCGGGTTGGGTTGGGGTGGTCTGGTAGGTAGTCAGGCAGAGATGGTGTGTTGACGTACCGCTGACTTGCATGGTTTCCTTCACCAGGGACCCATGGCGGCTCCCATTCTTCCTGCCCCCCCTCGCCCTCGCGCTCGCATCGTCCTCTTGTTCTCCTCCTCCGCTCCTGCATTCCCCCCTCTTCGTTCTCCCCGCTCTCCATCTCATCATATAGTTCACGCCCCCCCCCCCCCTGTCTGCCCCCTTCGTGAACTTTCGCATTCTAGATCTTGTGCCGCCGACAAAGCTCTCCCCCCTCCTCGGAAACTGGGACATATACATTACCAGTGGCGGATTGCTTCTTCAATCCCACGACTTTTTGAGGGTCGGGGACGGCGTCGGGGTGGCGTGGTGTATACTTCTCCCCCGTTTCCCAAGGGAAACAGCGACAAAATGTATACACCAGGATCCCGTATACACCAGGAACCGCGTTCAGCGCAGGGTCGGAAAAAGCGCCGGTGTATGGAGCTCGTCTCCCTATGTGTGCCGCCGACCATGCTCTCCCTGACGAACGGACAACACGCACCCATACCCTTAGGGGGGTCGTTGGGAGGAGGACTGGCTATGGGTATGGGTGCGGAATGTCGGACCCTGGGGAACGCTCCCGATCGAGCGGGGACCCCCATCCGACAACACGCACCCATAGCCCTCTCCGATCCCCCTATGGGTATGGGTGTGTGTTGTTGGTTCGTCACTCCCCCCTCCTCCGCCCCTCTCCCCCGCACCCCTCGTCGGCCCCCCCCCCCCCGTGACGGCCCGCTCTCCCCCTGGCTCCCCGGGGACTCCTGCTGCCGCCCCCGTGGGAGCCAGCTGGTGCCCTCGGGGGCACACCGCTGCGGACAGCTTCGGCGCGACCCCTCCGCGTCGGGAGAGGCCGTGGCCCCGGGCCCTCCTCCTCCTCCTCCTCCTATTTCTCCTCCTCCCTCCTCCTCCTCCTATTTCTCCTCCTCCTCCTCCTCTTTCTCCTCCTCCTATTCTTCCTCCTCCTCCTCCTCCTCCTCCTCCTCCTCCTCCCTCCTCCTATTCTCCTCCTCTCCTCCTCCTCCCCCTCCTCCTCCTCTTCCTCCTCCTCCCCCTCCTCGCCTCCTCTTCGCAGGGACGACGAAAGGGGGGGGGGGGGGGGGGGCGCACGAGCCCCGGGTGCGGGCACGGCACGTGTCCCTCCCGGGGCCTCGCCGAAGGAGTGGGCCATCGGCCCCCTCGGGGCACGCGCGCACTGCGCTTGGTTGGCATCGCTCGGACGTGTGCATTTTTTGTCTCGGCGAGAACCGTCGAGGACCATTCAGGAGGGAAAGAAACACACAGACACAATTAATCGTCGATTTCCCAGAACAGATGGGAAAATATGGGAAGTGGGGGGGGAAGACAACAACACAGAAAATATAGGAAAATATGGGGAATCCGGTTATTTTTGTGTATTTATTTGTGTGTCCCAGGGCCCCTTCAACCATTTTGAACCATCGAGCAAAACAAAAACACGCGCGAAACCGAAACATACATGGGGAATGGACGTCCGAGTGACGGCAAGTAGATCGGAATCGTTTCACCGATCCCCATCCCCATCCCCATCCCCTTCGAGGCCCCGACCAAATGATCCCCCCAGTTGGGGATACGCCCCTCGAATCCCGAAGGGAACGATCCATATCCCAATCTAGGGGGGTAGATCGGCCAGTGGGGCCCAGGCCACGCCGTTGCGGATGGGAATCGGTTAGACGCTACTCATGAAAGCATAGAGGTATCTTCTCCAAGGAGAAACAACCGCACAGACATAAAATTTTGGCGCTCCGCCCGGATTTCAGGGATCCAGGCTGGGCCCCCCGCGGCGGCGCCGGAGGCGCAGCCCCTGGCGCGCTCCGCGCGCCAGGGAGGGGGGTCCACTGCGGATCCAAGAAATCCGCGCGGAGCGCCAACAGTTTATGTTTATGTACTTGTTTCTTCTTCTATCGCTGAAAGCAGAGAGGCATGTTCGGGGCTTCAGAGACGGGGGTCAACGCAAACGGGGGTCAGGCAGAACGGCAGATCTTGCAGGATCCTGCAGAGCCAGGGGCGCACTGACCCAGGCTTGGGCACAGGATCCTGCAGCATTGCAGGATCCTGCAAGGCCTGACTGGCCTGGGTCTTGATTGACCCGGGTCAGAAGATCCCCGATATTTTTGGACTCTCAGATCCAAGTCTATTTTAGCCGCCTTCCCATTTCAAAGATAGAGTGGTTGTTTCCATCTTCGCTCCTCTTCACAGGACGGGCGGAGATCCAACCTGCTTCCGACGCCTTCTGCTTCATGTTTCTTCTCGTGTTTGTCCCCGACCGATGGGTACAGTGGAGCATCTGATCAAGAGACTTCCCTGCGAGAAGCCGGGCCAGCGTTTCTAGGCAAAACGTGTCGAGAAGCTGGCCCAGCTTCTGCCTGAGCGCGTTCGCCCCTCCAGCGTCAACATTACAGAAACTGGCCCAGAGTTCTGAACTGAGGAATTCGGTGGGTCGTATGTTCGGCCCCGTTGCTCTCCCCTGAGCTGTTCGTCCCCGTCGTCGCCCCCGATCCTCCCCCAGCAGGGCTGGACCTACACGGTGTCTTTGGTGATTCCGTGGGCCGTTTTCGTTTCGACTTCGTTTCGCGGTACAGGCGGGTTGAAGCTAAAACGAGGGAAAACGAAAACATAACGAAAACGAGCAACACCGTGTCGGTTCAGCCCTGCCTCGCGCCTGCCGCGCCCCCTCCTCCTCCTCCTCCTCCTCCTCCTCCTCCTCCTCCTCCTCCTCCTCCTCCTCCTCCTCCTCCTCCTCCTCCTCCTCCTCCTCCTCCTCCTCCTCCTCCTCCTCCTCCTCCTCCTCCTCCTCCTCCTCCTCCTCCTCCTCCTCCTCCTCCTCCTCCTCCTCCTCCTCCTCCTCCTCCTCCTCCTCCCCCCCCCCGGGCGCCCGAGGCGCAGGACTGAGGCGCCGCCGCCGCCGCGGGGCAGGTGAGGCGGAGGCCGAGGGCGCCCCTGCTCTGCGCGGCCCCGCCGGGCGGCCGGGGGCACCTCCTCTCCGCCCTCCTCCGCGTCCTCGTCGCTGGGGGGCGGGGGTGTATCGGTCGGCGGCGAGCGAGGGGGGGGGGAAAGGAGAAGGAGAGGGCCTGCTCGGAAGGCGGCACCTCCCTCACCCTCCTCCTCCTCGCCCCTTCCTGGTGAAGCATCCTCTGAATAGTTTGCTCTATCCTGATCTAATTGTTTCTCCTCCTCTCCCTCCTCCTCCTCCCTTCCCCATCCGCTCCACTCTCCCTTCTTCGTGGGCACCAGGTGGCTTTCATTCGAATCCACTAGACTCCTCCCCCCTCCTCCTCCTCGCCCGTTCTCATTGAATTTCGTTTTATTCATACTCAATAATAATCGAATCCTCCCCCCCCTTCCTCCTCGCCTTTTCGCCTATTGAATCCTCGCTTGAATATCATTCAATCCTCATCGAATCATCCCTCCCCCTTCTCGTCACTCTTTCCGATTGAGTCCCTACTTGAATCAAGGAACAGGGGTGTCGGTGAGGTTCGAACGCCCCAATGGCATCGGCATCTCCCCGTATTTGCCTTCGCTCATGAGCACACCGGGCGAGGATGAGGATGAGGATGAAGGAGAGATGGAGGGAGGGAGGGAGGGAGGGAGGGAGGGAGGGAGGCGGAGGAGGAGGGGGGAACGTAGCGCAAGGGCCGAGGAGGAGGAGAAGGAGAGCGGCAGTCAGAGAGAGAGCAGGAGAAAATGTCAGGCGTGTTGGGAGGTGAAATAGCATTCGAGATGGAGTGGGGGTGGTGTGAGCCTACACACATATATATACATATGTATGTATATATATATATATGTATATGTTATGTATATATGTGTGTATATATATATATAATCGAAGGCGCCTACGGCAAATCACCGCCAGCCCCTGCCTTCAGAATCGCCCATGTGGCCGAGCGTTGTGGCAAGATCTCTGCCAAGCTATCGGACCATGTGTTCCACCAGCCGTTGTGGAAACCCTTCGGGAAACACTTGGGGGAGGATGGCGGGGAAGATCAGGAGGAGGCGGAGGAGGCGGAGGAGGAGGAGGAGGAGGAGGAGGAGGAGGAGGAGGAGGAGGAGGAGGATGGAGCATCTTGGGAGTCTCTGGGGACACTCTTGGGGCCTCCTGGGAGCTTCCTGGGAGCCTCTTGCAGGCATCTTGGGGGCCTCCTTGGGTCTCTTGGGGGCCTTTGGGGGCTTCTCGGGGGCCTCTTGGGCCGTCTTGGTGGGCTCCTGGCCCGTCTGACGCCGTCGAACGCCGTCTTGGGGGCCTCTCTGGGCCGACTTGGGGCCCACTTGGGGTGCTCCAGGGCCGTCTTGGAGGCTTCCTTGGGCGTCTTAGGGGCCTCTTGGGCTGTCTTTGGGCCCTCTTGGGGCCGTCATGGGGGCCTCTTGGGCAGTCCTGAGGCCACCTTGGAGGCTTCTTGGGCGCTCTGAGCGCGATCTTGGGGACCTCTTGGGCCGTGTCGGGCCGTCGGAAGGCTGAAAAGGAGTAAATACGAACGTCTTTCACAAACATAATGAAAATCAATGATTTGGGCCTCATCGGGCCTTACTGGAGGACCTCCGGGAGGTCTCTTGGGCTGTCTTGGAGGCCTCTTGGGGGCCTCTTGGGCAGTCTTGGAGGCTTCTTGGGCCGACTTGGAGGCATCTTGGACCCTCCTGGGCAGTCGTGGAGGCCATCTTGAACCCTCCTGGGTCGTCGTGTAGGCCATCTTAGCCATCTTGGAGGCATCTTGGAGGCCAGCTTTGGCCATCTTGGAGCCGAACCTTTGCAACCAGGTCTTACGATCCCTTCCGGGTGGCCGGCGGGCTGGCAACCGGGTCTTACGGTTTTCGGTTGGCCAGCGGGCTAGACTGGAGCCCTAGAAGAGAGTTCTTTTGGAAAAAGAGCAAAACGAAAATGGTAGCGTATAGCACGCCAGGCACCCTTGTGATAAGCACAGGGGGCGGTGGATATATATATATATATATATACATATACATATACACATATACATATTTTTTATACTTAAACATATATATATATACATATGTGTATATATATACATATGCACTGCGAGCCATTTACATATTCAGCGGTGCGCGCATTGGACGAAGCTGACAGAGAGCTTCGCCGCAATGCTTAACGAGCAGGCCACAGCCATCACTTGGCTATCAGTGCCGCCAAGACTGCTGCAGGTCGTGTTGTTGGCCGAGCCTCTCATTGATGTGATGTGCGAAGAGCAACTCCGGGCGTTCTGTTGTACAGTGGTCTGTGACCTTTCCCGTCTGGTGCTCTCGCCCACACGCATGCATTTACCCGTGATAACTTGAGACTACAATTCCTTGCGCAATACCTATATATATAAATGTATCGAAGGTTGCGGGGTGAGATCGAAGTGGAACGGAGAGCCCTCCTACCAGGAAATCGATTTCGGTTTCGTCTTCGTGCGTGCCGTGCGTGCGGGCGAGGCGAAGCTGCGTGGTGGGCAGCCGGGCAGGCGAGAGAAAGTCTCCTGTGGCTGATGCGCGGCCAGACCAAATGATTGCCGTC